CTGTCTGAAGTCTTCACCTTTTTTCATTATTCTGGCTTTTTTTACTGTTTAAATCGTTAAAAGCATAATCGATTATGGCTTTTAGCTTGCTACCTGTACATGTTATGTAAAATAGAAAATAGAATAAAAAAAAAGTGGCGATTGGCTTTCTCATATACAAACACAAGCTTTAACTTGATAATATATATGATTTTATAGTGATAAGCCATCAATTACCATGTCAGTCTAAACTATTAGCAATTGATTTTAGATAGAAAGTCATCTTCTATTGAGAACACAAAAAATAACTAAATGCTATGTACAATGGTATCTGTCATATTTTCAACCGTCAAATCTTCTGGGACGAAATAATAACTCTGAAAAGTAGTAATCTATAGTCCCTTAATTCAAACGGATCCATTGTTTCTGAACAAAACAATTCACCAAATTAGACAACAATATACTCAATGTAAACAAATTATGATAAAATTATAGATTTTTTATACGAAACTCAAATGAAACGAAATTGTCTTGAGCGAAACAGACGACTAATGCAAAATGATTGACAGCTATAGGCCCAGAGAGACGCGTGCGCATTATAACTCATGCGAATCAATTACTGGAAAATGTCTATTATTTTACATCAAGTCAAACTAAATAATTTGGGTCTGATGAAAATATTGAGAAATTTGAATTTGTTTTTATCGTTTTAGCGAAATTGAAAATGATAAAAAAAATATATGAACATTTTGAATCTGTCAACGTTCATTTTCATTACATTTGTAGTGTAGCAAATGTTAAAATTTTATAGCATGCTTTTGATAGGAGAGTCATATGAATTTCTACAAAAAAAAAACATGGTTGGCAGTAAAATATATCCAATTTTAGATATCTTAACTTAAGATGTCATAACTTATTTTTTAGAAAATAACTGATAGGTTGATTTCAAGAGAAAGTTTATTAGCCAGTCGGAATTTTTGAAAGAAATAGATAAAATGACGTCATTATAGAATTAAAAATGAAATATTTTCCCTAAAACCGTATATGCAATTTTATTTTGTTATGGGTCTTCATATGTGAACTTTGATTTCTTATTTGCATACGAACCTTGATTTTTTTTTTATATGCATATGAACTTTGATTTTTATTTATATTCATGCGAACTTTGATTTTTTATATGCATACGAACTTTGATTTTTTTTATATGCATACGAACTTTAATTTTTTTTATATGCATACGAACTTTGATTTTTATTTATATTCATGCGAACTTTGATTTTTTTTATATGCATACGAACTTTGATTTTTTTTATATGCATACGAACTTTGATTTTTATTTATATTCATACGAACTTTGATTTTTTATATGCATACGAACTTTGATTTTTTTTATATGCATACGAACTTTGATTTTTATTTATATGCATGCGAACTTTGTTTTTTTTTTATATGCATACGAACTCTGATAATTTTTATATGCTTTCGAACTTTGGTTTTTTTTTATGCATGCAAACTTTGATTTTTTTTATGCATGTGAACTTTGATTTTTTTTATATGCTTTCGAACTTTGATTTTTTTTTATGCATTTGAACTTTGATTTTTTTTATATGCTTTCGAACTTTGATTTTTTTTTATGCATAAGAACTTTGATTTTTTTTATGCATTCGAACTTTTGATTTCTCTAACTGCATATACAAACTTTGACTTTGTATATGCGCATACGCATTATTTTCATGCTTACTTCATTGATTATCACTAATGATGAATAAATTGTATTTTCAATAAATTCTATATAACTAGGCGACGTCCTGATGTTATCACTTGCAGAAAAAACTTTTATGAATTATAAATACTTGTACAGCGTGGTTAGAAGATTGTATCTATATAGTTTTATCATTAATTTACCCAGCTATCTGTCACCAAAGCCATATATATTTTATTAGTTGTTTTAATATAGATCTTCGTCTAAAATTGTTTCTAGCCTCAAGCCACTTCCGATTTGATTTTATTTATATACTTCGACCTTCAGCTCAATCCACTGTCTTATAAATTAATGTGGAAGAGGTTTTAAAGGTATATTCGCAGTTATTTTAATTGCAATGTTGTAATAAATTGCGATGTTGTAATAAATTGCAGTGTTATAATTAATTGCAATGTTGTAATTAATTGCAAAGTACACGTTCATGTTGCAGTGTTGTGATGAATGGTATGGTAATGAACGAATGTCAAAAGTGGAAAAGTATACGTTACTGTTTCCAAAAGCTAGATGCAAATATCATGCTTTATACCCTAACATATATTAAAGTGAGAGCGTGGATCGTTTCCAATGTGGGACTACATGTTTTTTACTATGCATACAGAAAAATCTAGAGAGATAAGTGGGAGCACACTTTATGATATATATTATCTTTCTTGGGGCGTTTCTAAATGAGAATATATGCCAATAATCACAGTGGTATAGGAAATCTGCTGGTAAATGACCACAAATAGTAGCATTTATTTCCTTCAACGGACATAGCGTAGGTCATGCCTGGAAGCTCACTGATCTTGAAACACATTTATGGTTCTATATGAAAAATATGTGCGTCGAGTCCGTCACGTAGTCCACAAATGGGCGCGTCTTACCATTTTTAATATTGTAATTTTGATTATAAATTTGTCGTTTAGTCCGCAATCTTTATTAATGATTATAATTTCACACTTGTATAAAAAATCAACTGGTTTCAAATCAGAATTCGAAGGGCGAAGGTTAAGTTTCGACCTAAAAGATAAAGGACAAATATACGAAACTTCGTCCTCTGAATATTTGTAATAATCTCTGATTTGAAATATCAAGTTCCACATAAAGAGAAAAATCTATGTTCTGTTCATTTCATGGAATTGAATACATCATCTTGCAACATTTTAAGATAATGGCCAAGACATTTCAGTAATTAGCATTGTCTTCAGTCAAAACAACAAATTAATATCCCGATAGAAAGACAAAATTAATATAATAAAATAATTCTATACTTTGGGTGTGAATGCAAATTTTTTATTCTTAAGACATTTTTAAATTAGTAATAATTTCAATTGATTATGGTCTAGTATGAAACTTTTTGCTTTGATATTTCTTGATTCTTTACCCACGGTTTGAACAGCTAGCAAATATTTCGCAACAAAAATGGATCTTTTGATTTCAGGCAATAGTTTCTGAAATAATTATAGAATCTAAGCTGTAGTATAAATGTACAACTAGGGCAATTTTAGAGCTGCACAATTTTCAAAATCTTATTAGAATTAGAAGATAAAAAAGCAAGAGAAAAAAAAATACATCATGAAAGACAAAGAAAGTGAAAACATGTTCCATGATAATGTCTCGAGGCTATTAAACATGTTTTAAAGAATTAAAAAAATAACTGATTGTATGACGAAGGCTGTGTAAAAATATTATATTTTATCATAATCGTCTATTCACTTCAATAATCATTAGTGCCTAACTTAATCAAAAGCTTTACTCAAGTCACACAATCGGGTCAGCAATGCCTCGACCGTTTAGCTAATCTTACAATGCTTGTCTAATTATTTAGTCTCTCTCTTTCTGCCCGCTCTGTTCGATTTGTATGTTGATTGTATTAAAAGAAAATAAGATGAACATGGTTAAATTGCGGTCAACAATTGCACGAAAGTTTGAGTATTAACTTAGCCAAATTAACGCCAAGAAACGCTCGGATTTTCCGATTTTTTGCCGCAGGGCATGGCTGATCAAATTTACCATAGAGCCTAAATTTGGCAGTGTTTCTTATTAATCTTGACGCATAATTCTCTCAACATGACAGACTATCTCTAAAGAGACTCTTATAAGATTTATGAATTTTGAAAGTCTGAGACTAATAATGTGATATGAAATTGGCTATCTTGTATGATGAGTTTAAGAGAGGGGCTTGATAAGTTAATATGGCTATACTTGCTAATAGAAAAGACGAGTTGACTCTATTAGGATAAATATATTAGCTTTCTATTAGATAGAAGAGGTCAAATTGTCGTTGATGGCATGAAGAAAAGGGATAAACATTTTGATCACATTAGCTTCGGAGATTTAAGAGAATTTGTACGATAGTTTTTATTATCGAAGAAAAATATTTTTTGGGGAAAAATATGATTGATATATTAAAAAAAATCTAAAGTTTAGAAACGAAACTAAATGAGATTATTTTTTTTTTTTAAATTTTGCTTATTCTCCTTTTTTCACAAAGAAATAAATCTAATTAATTTGCTTCTTATAATATTTTGTTATTTACCTGAAAATGCTTTACTAGATTGAACTACATTGGGAATTGATTTCGGGATGATATACAAATTAGAAAATTTATTCAGCAATCTGAATGCCTTGCCTCATTTATATAGATTGTTTCTGGAAGGATTCCAAATATAAATGTTATTTTGACTTATTTATTGATATGGTACTATGCTGTATGGGGTGTTCGTCTCAGTTCGGGAACCAAAACAGCAGTTGTTTAACTCTTGTGGTTTACTCAGATAAAATAGATAAAATAAAGAGTAAAGATCAGAAGTTAAATATATTGATATAGTCCCTCCATTAATCACAGTCTCTATTTTCACCACCGTGTTTTATATGGAGGTAAAAAATACAATAATACATACCCACGAGCATAATAATAGTCTCATACAGTATCATGATTGACAGATAACCTGATGATTGACACGGTTACCACGACAACTAAGCACCCGATATCGTATCGACCAATGATATTGCGTATCATCCCCTGCATCGTTAAACGATGAATGATGTCGTCTCAATGATTAAGCCCCGCCCCTGTAATCAAATTTTAATGCTATCGGTGAACAATAGCCACTCCCCAATATGTCTGTTTATAATAGTATCGTTAAAAGATATTAGAAGTAGTTTTATCGTGAATATTAGAAGAGAATTCATCTATACACCAAGATATCTGTGGATTGAGACATTATTATACGGCATCATGTTTGGGTTGTGTGGCGTTGATACCCCTCTACCCGCCATGTTTCCTTTACCAACGTTACACTTTACACCACAACAAGTAGCCAAAGTATGTGAAACTTTAGAAGAAAGTGGTGACATTGAAAGATTAGGACGATTTTTGTGGTCGCTACCAGTGAATCCTTCTGCTATGGAAGCTTTGAACAGACATGAATCTATATTACGGTCTAGATCCTTGGTGAGTTTTCATACTGGGAATTTCAGAGACTTATACCATATTTTGGAAAATCATAAATTCACGAAGGAATCCCATGCAAAACTTCAGGCTATGTGGTTAGAAGCTCATTATCAGGAAGCAGAAAAGCTCAGGGGCCGACCCTTGGGCCCAGTTGATAAATACAGAGTTCGTAAGAAGTACCCACTGCCCAGAACGATATGGGACGGGGAGCAAAAGACTCATTGTTTTAAAGAACGAACGAGGAACTTGTTACGGGAATGGTATTTACAAGACCCTTATCCTAATCCGACAAAGAAGAGAGAATTAGCTCAAGCCACCGGACTCACCCCTACACAAGTTGGTAATTGGTTTAAAAATAGGAGACAAAGAGACAGAGCTGCAGCAACAAAAAATAGGTAAATAATTTTTTTTAATTTATTCCAGCATTACTGTGATATTTTTTATTTAAAAATTTAAATTATTTCCAAGCCTAATAATATACTAGCTTTTAGTATTCAGTACTATTTATAGAAATTCAGAAATAATCTTTTTTCATATATTGCCATTGGGAATAATTGAGTTTAAAGAAAATATTTATTTAGTTGTGCTTGATATAAATATTTTGTAAATGGAACATTAATTGCTGATCTCCGTATAAGACAGTACGTAGCTCTTTCTGCATCAAAAACTTCTTAAAGCAAAAATGTAAGATATTTTTGTGTAATGTCGCCGATATGCTCAGGGGGAAATCTGATAATTTTCCAGCCACGAGTCTCCTTGATAAGATATCGCCGCTATTTTATCGAAGAATAACTTTTAATTCAGAAATGTTTAAACCATTTTAAGATATGCCCAAGGCTTTTATTTATATTAATGAAATAAATTGATTGTACTTTCGTCATCAATTTAACGCTAGCAATATATATTCTCAAAATTATAATCAAAGGATATTTGAACGCTGGGGTGGAGTTTGTATGCACTTGATATGAAAACAGATGCCAATAACAAAAGAATGTTCACTGATGTGTTTTTTCCTCAAATACGATCACGAAAAAGCTTTCGACTGACTGTATTGTTGGTTATAATTATTTATGCTTGTTACATATATACTTAAAAACCTATTCTGTCAATCGTATCGAGATGCTTTTTGTCAATAGGGATGTATACATTACGTTAAAGTAGATTTTTCAATTACATTTATTTACTATCAAACATTAGAAAAGTAGACTGAACTCTCTCAGCGACGCTTCAGTTAAGAATGTAAACTATTATTTACATTGATATTTGTATTATAAAAATTAATAATAATTGTTACTGGGGTTTTAACAAAAAGCATAATAATGCTTGTCATTACTTTTCATTCATCTTCGTCGTGAGAAAAAGTCTGAAACCAAATTCTGTATAAAAATATTTTTTTAAATATAGGGTACATTTACAATTTATTTCGAGTCAGTATAAAAATTATTAATAATATTAAAAACTTTACTGTACAAAAACGAAATCTTAAAAAAAACCAACGTGTAGCTAATAGCAATTCGTTTTAATATTTTTGCTATATTATCAATCAAGTTTTCTTATTTTTACCTTCGATTGTTTTCATCAACATTTACTCTTTTTGCAAAGTAAAATTGAACAATAAAATATGAAAATGTTTGTAAATGCAAACTACAATGTTATTTTGAATTTTCTAAAGAAGGAAAACTAATGCAATCAAAAGGTTCAAATTGACACAAATTTCACAACAATGATTATTTCGATAGTTTTTCGTATTTTTAATAAGATTGAAAAATTTAAGTTTCGTTTCGTTGATTTATTATTTGGTTGATTTTGCAGTCTTTCTTAAGCATTTACTTATGTCTGTTTAGATACCTTTGTTTACTTCTGAACGAGAAACTTATCATTTATACCAAAACAGAATTAATTTCGCTTGCAATTTTAAATGGAAATAATTAGAATTATTGTTAATAGATTCAGACAAATTATATCAAATTGCTGCTGCCAAGACGATCGCGATCATCTGAACATCATCAGCATTCTGATCCTATATGATCTAAAATAGCAACTGGGTTGATACTGATATGACATACATATTATAAAATGGATATTATTTTTTAATAGAATAAATAGATAAAAATTGTCTTTAGCCGTGACTCATTTGTCTAAATACTGATAATTACCAAGATGATGGCGAATATTTTTCGAAAATTATATGTCTCGATTAAAAACCTCCTAAAATCAATGAATACGTAGAAAAATAAGCTTTATATGAAGCTTATAATTATAAGTCTTATGGCATAATCGAAATTTGCCAAGGTTTTCCATATTTTTCATTGATTTTGATATTATACTTGAAAGCTTTTACCCAATTATAGAATATAGAGAAATAGATCCGGCAGCTATTTTCAAAACTCAATCGATTTTGAGACTAGTTTGATATCCATGTATAAAGAACTTTTATTTTGGCGTCTTTTGTTTTTTTAATCTAATTTCTTGCAATTACTTCACATCGCTCTGAAGATTATTATTATAGTACAATACGTATTACGTTTTTAATATAATTATGAAAATGAAAAAGAATGCGAATTCATATAGTGAAAAATATATATACGGATCTTCGAACAAAGAAAACTAAGGAATTTTGAAAATAGCTGTACATTGATCAAAAACCTCAGCTGAATAACAGTCTAAATTTTAATATAATCTACGACAAAGGCAAAAATTATTAGTTTATCAATCTGCAAAAACAATATAATGTTTTCTAAATAGAAACTGAAATTGAAAATATACTACAATAATCCAATATAACGTCACTGATTAAAAGCAATAAGAAATTTCTAAAATTACTCCTCAAAATGGTGATATGCTTTAGTCCAGGTAGATGCAATCTTAGATAAATTTGATCTTGTGTCCAAGTGTATTCAATCTTTGAAAAATGACATTGTTATCTGAAATTCACGTCAAAGGACGGTTTAGTTTATCTAAAATGACTGAAATTTTATTTTTGAAAGTCTTATTCCACTTTTACTAATTCCATTTAATTGTGGTGCGATATCTCATAGCTATTGAAAATTATAGGATATAAGTATAAAATGTCATCAATATTAGCCGAATGTCAATAAAATCATAAATAATAAAAGTAAATTGGCGTGTATGGCTACATTCATAATATTATGATTCAAGAGTGATAAAGTCATCAAACTTATGATAAAGAATCATCAAAGATACATACAGACACATCAAATTTGCATTTCATATCTGTTTAAGAGACACGATGGACTAACAAATCTATTAGTATTTCATGATAACAGTGTTGAAGATTGTGATAACTATATATCACAACGTGATAACTGTAATACACGTCTTCAAGAATGCTGTCATAATTTCACACATTTAATAATCATCTAGTATAATCGCCATTAGAACAAAACTAATATGTCAAAACCCGTAATCCTTATACAACTAAAAGAAAAGCGTGAGAAAGCCTAGATTACTACGATACAAGATCACAATTTCAACCTCTTATCTCCGACTTTTATCGATACTTTGCACTGTTTATCAAATTCTTATAAAAATTTAGCTAATTTTCATAGCAATGAAAATCGTACTTCAGTGATATAGCACACATGTGTTCATTTATGATAAAAATAATGCAACACCTTTCATTTAAACTGGGCAATTAGAAAATCAAAATATAGTATAAACATTTCAATTTTATCTTTAAATAACGTTTTGATATCAAATATTTGAACATTTTATCTGAAGATATATTCGAATATTAATCAGATACCTTGTAAATAGAGCATAAATATTTCTTACAACAATTATTCTGATTTCAGAAAGTTCATGAAAGAATTTGACACCATTTTAGAGAATACATTTTATTAAAAATAACATAATAATAACGTTTGACAAAAATTACAAGTGCACAAATTTAACTTTCCTATCCATAAAAGGTTAAAAAAACATATATATGTACACATACAATTAATTGATTTGTTAGCATAGTAAAGATTTTTTGACAAAATTTATTTATATTTTATTTTCAAAAGACACTCTTTATAATTATTGTAATCTTGAAATTTTACAACAAATGCCTTTACTTCAGAATAGTGATTTTTACAATATTATCAAATGAAAAAATTAATAAAGAATGTTATCAATTACTACAAAATGAAGGCATTTGATAGAATTTACATTGTAACTACTTACACATTTGATAGAATTTACAATGTAAATACATCACACATTTGATAGAATTTACATTGTAACTACTTACACATTTGATAGAATTTACATTGTAACTTCTTACACATTTGATACAATTTACAATGTAAATACATCACACATTTGATAGAATTTAAAATGTAAATACATCAAACATTTGATAAAATTTACAATGTAAATACATAACACATTTGATAGAATTTACAATACAACTACATTATAATAAAGAGGAAAGACAAAATCATAAAATTTATTTAAGGATATTTGGCAACAATTAAATATATTGTTATAATTATTTTTATTAAACCTAACAATAAGAATTATATTATTACAATGTATAGATAATATTTTTACTGACAAAATCCAAGATATAGTTCAAAATTTCACAATTCCTTCAATTTATATTTGCTGCTGTGAAACTCTATTATCAGAGAGAGAAAGAGAGAATCTAAGAAAAAAGGAAGTTATTTATTGATTTGTTCATTTCCTTTGTTAGATTTCTACTAAACTATTGTTGACAAATTATTCATCAAGTCTGTACACAGATCGTACAATATGTTTACTTTTATATTTTATTATTATTTATGGAAACTGTGTACAGTTTTTGTCATTGATTTAAAATTTCAGACTGTTTTCAGTAGGACGAATATTGTTGAAATGTTCAATTTAATTTTTAAAAGTATCTGATGTTTCATTTGGAATAAAAGGGAACCAAAATGTTGATGTTTCTTCAGATACGCTCTTGTGACTTCCTGTATTTTTGCCAGCGACTTTGCTTTTGGTTTTTGGTTAGGCCTACGCTTTGGTTTATATTTTTTTATATAATGATTGGTTAAAAGAAAAAGATTCCTAAATCATTTATTTATTATCTTATTAATCCATTCATAAAATTTGAAAGCACACAATTTTCTGAACCGCTTATAAAAGCTTAATCTGAATTTTCAAAAAATGACACATTTTCATTCAGGTTGATTTTCAAACCTTGTTGACACATTTCTAATATAGCCAGCGGCCATTAAACCGCAGATGCAATATTTTTCATAGTTATTTACAATTTTACAATGTTATTCAAATGGATTCTCTTTATTTTGAGCCAATAGACATGTATTCATACACGGGCATCATTATCATCTCTTACAACGAATGGCTTTAATTAAGCGCACCATTATCCAAAATGGCGGAAAATTTAAGAAAAT